AACTCCCTGGAAGTAGGCTTCAGGCTTTGTGTTCTACTGGGATGTATTTCCAAGGTTAGGAATTCATCGTGAGGTTTTTCCTTAAGAATAGAAAAATTTTCATGTACTGGGTGTACTGTAATGCTGTGAGAGTTCAGGAATATGATGTCCCAATAGATTTTCTTTATTGGAATGTTTACTCTTAACACTGTCTTGGAATGCCATAGCAATTGTTCCTCTCTGGAGGTAAAGAAGTCCTTCCCTTTCCAAAAGAAATGTCTGCAAAATGCAGAGATTCCTGCCATGGTAGATTTGGGGTAGAATAAGGGATGATATAAATCCTACTGCACTGGGGTTGGTGGGGTTGTGTGGTGAAGGGACCTAGGTAATTTACTTACCTATATAAGCCATAAAAAATATTCTAGAAGATAGGGAGGGAATTAAGATGCTTCCTCCTGACCCTCACATTTCGCAGTCACAGCGGAGCGGCACCCTTCTCATTGTGAAGGACTTTCAGGATGCTCCCAGAGCGGTACAATGTATATTCAGGATACTACATCTGCTAGTTCTGATCCTAGAATTATTTCTCATTGGCTTATATATCCAATCTCAGAAGTTAATTAGATGTAAGCAGTTCCCAGGTTGTGAAACAGTGTCTTCCAGTCTCTGTTTTGCAGCTGTTTGTTTGAGATTCAGGAAATTAAATGAGATAGACAGTAGTGAGCTTTCTACTCGCTCATATTGTAAATGAACTTTTTTTATTCTTTAGAAAAAGTATTTCATTACCCCTTTAACATACTCAACAGCAGTTTCCAGAGCAAAGATACATCTCTTTCAAAAGTGGCTATAAAATATTTAGGTTCACTGTTGAATTAATACAGTTATACAATATTGAACTCAGTATAAACCCTGTAAGACATAAAATTGAATGAGTTTTTAACCTTTAAAAAAGATCTCCATTTCACTTTAAAATATACTGTTTCTTACAGAAAGAGTTCATTGGTTTTGCTAATAACACTGTGATGTTGGCGCTTGTGTCTCTAATCTGTCTTTATCTGATGATTACTAGTCGTAATTGGTTGCACTTGGATCCTTGGCACCTGTGTGTGTCTATAAAGCCATCGGGTAGATTTCAATGGTAATGTTTATCACTTTCTTTTTTGAGACCATAACAGGTAACTCAGGCTGGCCTTGAACTTACTCTGTAGGTGAGATAACCATGAACTTCTGCCTCTACCTCCTAAATGCTGGATTTCAGTACATACCACTATGCCCAGCTTATGTGGCACTGTGGATGGAACCCAGTGTTTTGTATATGTTAGGGAGGAACCCTGTCAACTGAGCTAGAGCCCAACCCTTGTAACTAAAATTCTGAAGATGGTTTATCTGGTCTTACTGTTTCTCTCTTCTTCAATACATTATTCACAATTTTTACTAAGAAATTATCAGTATGTGTCAATCATCACCTCTAAAAGCACAATTTATCTGGGCGAATATGGGCCACATTTTATTAAGTACCCACCATAGAGGAACTTGAGATGAATTCCACATGCCCTTCCATGCCCCGTCATCACCACTCACAAATCTCAATGCCCTGAGAATACCTATTCAGAGAACTTGGAAACATGGAGCTCAAGAACCAGTTCTAAACCCATTATTATATCATGTATGTTCTGAATTTTCATCAGTTTCAGAGACGGAGTTTGACAAGTATGCATTTATTATTTTTATTTTATTCGTTATTTTTAAAGACTTATTCTTCCTTTATGTGTATGAGTGTTTGCCTGGTCATATGTATGTGACTATGTATGTGTAGTGTCCATAGAGGCCAAAAGAGTGACAGATCCCTTGGAAATGGAGTTATAGATGGTTATTAGCTGCCATGTGGGTGATGGGAACCAAACTGGGTCCTCTGAAATAGCACCCAGAGCCCTTAACCATTGATCCATCTCTCTAGCCCCTGTTTTTACTGTGTTGTAATTGGCATTGGCATAATGGTGTTTTCATGCCTATATATTTGTACCTCATTCATTCTCACCCCCTCCTTACCCTCCTTTTTCCCCACACTGGTCTCCTCCCTCCTCACAAACAGTCCCTGTTCTGGTCAAGTTATACATTTTCTTTTGAAATGTTTTCAAATATTTATTTCCATTATTATTATCAGTGTGTGTGATGTATGTGGGCATCAGCTTACACATGCCACAGCACATGCATGAAGGTCACAGGAGAACTTTGTGAAGGTGATTGGTTCTCTCCTTCCACCTTGATACACATTCCTGGGATTGAATGCAGGCTGCCAAGCTTGCATGGTAAGTGCCTGTATCCATGGAGACCTCTTGCTGGCCCAAGTAATGCCTTTACAATGTTACCTTGAACCTACAGTCCCCTTGGTCACACCCATGGTCAGCCATTGCTTAGACATAATTGCTCAAATCAGCATATGCAGAACATTTCGTTGAATCAACACTCCTGTGTACCCCCAGATTCCTCATCTTAAAAACCCAAATTAGCTTCCCTGGGCTTCTGGCTCTGCGGTGCCGACTGGGTGGTTTCTCTCCTGATGTCTCTTTACGCAAACCACAGCTTTTTACCAGGCCTCCATGCTCACAATCCTAGAAAACAAATAGGGTTGGATTTTTACACTCACACCTTCCTGCCTCCTGTCTCATTCATGAATCTACTACAGTGTTTTCTGCCAAACTGCCTCCCTTTAGGACTCCATACCCTGTCAACTTCCAGCCTAAACTAGATCCCAACCTATACTAGGCAACCCCAACCTATGTTAGACACCCCGAACCTACACTAGACACCCCCCAACCTAGACACCCCCAAACTACACTAGATGCCCCCAACCTACACCAGACCCCAACCTACACTAGACACCCCTCCAACCTACACTAGATACCCTCAACCTACACTAGACATCCCCTAACCTACACTAGACCCCAACCTACCCTAGATGCCCCCCAACATGCACTATACACTCCCAACCTATACTAGACACCCCCTAACCTACACTAGACACCCCCCAACCTACACTAGACCCCCCCCAACCTACACTAGACCCCCCCTCAATCTACACTAGATATCCCCAACCTACACTAGACCCCCCCTCAATCTACACTAGATATCCCCAACCTACACTAGACCCCCCCTCAATCTACACTAGATATCCCCAACCTACACTAGACCCCCCCTCAATCTACACTAGATATCCCCAACCTACACTAGACCCCCCCTCAATCTACACTAGATATCCCCAACCTACACTAGACCCCCCCTCAATCTACACTAGATATCCCCAACCTACACTAGACCCCCCCCAACCTACACTAGACAACCCCCAACCTACACTAGACACCCCAACCTACACTAGACACCCCCCAACCTACACTAGACACCCTCCCAGCCTACAATAGACACCCCTCCCCACCCCCATCTCTGGTCCCAGTTGCTCTTCAGCTCTCATCCTATGCAAGAATTTCTTTCAAAATTACAACTTTGTTTTCTAGTACCCAAATGCTACTTTCTCAAAGCAAATAAAGTATGATTTCAACTATATCTCCCCACCACCCCCCTTTGGAACATTTGGATATTAAAGGGAAGTTGGGATTGAAACTTCAATCTTCCATTTTTGTCAAACGTTTTTTATCAGTTACCTTGCTTGAAAGACAGGTATGGGGTAGGGGGTGAGGAGGGAAGTGAGGTTAAAGGATGTCTTCATGAACAGATTTATTGACAGCACTGTGGGAGTTTTCGAATGGCAATGCAGACACCTCTTTGGAATGTTCCCTCCTGTTTTAGTTGGCTTTTGTTGCTATGACAAGCACTCTGATCAAGAGCCACTTGGAGAGAAAAGTTTGGTTTATAGGTTACAGTCCATCAAGAAGGAAAGTCAAGGCAGGAACTCAAGGCAGGAGGAGCTTGAAGTAGAAACCACAGAGGAGTGCTGCTCACTGGCTTGCCTTCTAGTCTCACCTGCCTAGGGATGGCCCTGCCCACAGTGGGCTAAGCCCTCCTCTAACAATTAGCATTCATGAAAACGCCTCACAGACATGCCCACAGGCCAGTGTGATGGAAGTAGTTCCTCAGTTGAGGTTGCTCCATCCCAGGTGTGTCAAGCTGACCCCAAGATTAGCCATCACAACTCTCGGGGTCTGCAGTTACCGCATTCACACAGAGAATGATGGAAAATGGCCTGATGCAACCTGGATACTTGTCTCTCATCTCTTATTGTAGCTCCAAGAAATTAGGGTCATTCCGTATACTTGTTGGTTACAAACTTTCCTGCTGTCCTTCCCTGAGCTGTAAGTCTAGATCACAGTTGCTCAGAACAGTTCTTATATCTAAGGATAAAGATTGGAAGAAGAATTAAGTCCTATGTAATTGTCACTTTTTTATTGGTAAAATATAGGCAATTTCACAAGGTTTGACCCAACAGCTTCCTTTGATAGACATGCTGCTTGAAACAGCATTTGTTCATGTTTGATTAAAACCCACTGAGAAGTTTTTTCCAACACAAATTTGTATTTCTCCAGTTAGAAAACTTGTGCTTTTCTGTGTCATCCCATTTGTCTTTCCTGGGGTTTGGAGAAATAAGAAACACAGGCCTCGCTTTTGGAGAAATGCTTGTAATCTCTAGACTGACGTGAAGTACTTCCATCGGTCCTGGGAGAATTTTTTTTCCTGAAAAGTTATTAATGGATGTTCTAATGGGAAATGCTTTGAAACCCTCACCAGTGCTATAAATAAGAGAGAAATGGAAGCTTAATAAATCTGAGGAAGCTAGAGAGGGAGAAAACGTAAAATCGAGGACTGTACCTTTGCTGGAGTGTTAACACAGCCTCAAGTGTGTATGAAAGACTTGTTAAAGGCTGAGCCTAAAGTCATAGCTATCAATGCGTGCTTAACTCTGTCACCTGGGGGAATTTCACTAAATGCGGTGGCCAAGAATTTGACCTTTCTTTTTCTCTTTTTCTCTTTTTGGGTTGCATCCTTGTTCATGTCAATAATAAATACAGCTGACCACCTGCTGGTTCGTCAATGAAGCGATATTAAATTATGAAGATGTAAGGAAGACACCTGAAGCTAACATTGTTGCAGTTTGAAAGGTAAGCTCCTCTGTGCAAGATGAGATGCGATGTTCTTTTAAGATCTGTGTAACATCAAGTTGCGTTGACATTAATAACCATTAATAATAACATCACAAAGAAGCTCTAAGGTTCTCCAGAATTTTGTTGCTGTTGTTGTTGTTTGTTTGAGACAGGGTCTCACTGTAGCCCCAGCTGGCCTGGAACTCGCTCAGTAGACCAGGCTGACCTCAAACTCATAGAGATCTGCCTGCTTCTGCCTCCTGAGTGCTGGGATTAAAGGCGTGTGTCACCACATCCTGGTCTCCAAACAGCATTTTTAATGCTTTCCACAGATTTGATTTTGTGGCTTGTTCTGATGGGTGGATGTCACTGCAAGTGGGTGGCAGGGATCATGTGGCTCCTTGGTCAAGCTGTGGTCCTGTACTTATGATAGACAACCCTCACTGACTCTAGTATCTGTCTGTGAACTCAACTAAAAGTTCCTTACTAACCAAATACTCGGTTCTTTCCATGAATAAAAGGTGAGTTTATGTCCCTCCATTTTTGATGGAAAACCATGTATTTCCCAGGTCACCATCAATTACGCTCTTGGTCTCCTAGACCTAGTGCCCGAACCTTATGGTGATGATTGTCACAGGGGATCTAAATGGGGTGACTGTGCTCCCTTTAGACCCTCCCACAGAGGTGGAACTCCTCCCCTGGGAGAGAAGGGGCAATCCCACTGCTTGCCGTTGAGTACTTGCTAAGAACCTCCAGCGGGCAGTGCACAGGCTTGCTTTCACAGGAGTGTGTGCTCACTCTGTCCACCTGCTTCCCAGTGGTGCCCACTCCTGAGCCCTTGGAGTATTTCTGAACACATTCAGCAGGTTTCTGCTTCTGTGTGAAAAGGGGATTTTTGAAGTAGAATCAGATGGAGCCCAAGTTATTTTACTTACAAACTGAGAATGTTTTGGACAGTGAAAGAATAGGTTCCTTGTTAGAAGTGGAAGGAATGAACGTGGTGTTTGCTGTGTTGTTTCAGTTTGAACTTCTAAAATAGATTTCAGGTTGCCAGTCCTTCATTTCCATGGGACTGGAGTATCGTCTGCTGCTTGGTGTAGAGTCTGTTTGGTTTTCAATATTGGTGGCACTTTGATCTACTTGTTAAAAATTGCAGGTTTAGTTTCACAAAACTGAGAGGTGCTTCACATTTATGCTGTGCAGAAAGGGGCGATTATTTGCACATTAAAAATAGCTTGGTTTTTATAAAATAACTTATTACAAGATTGGTTTATGGAAAAAACTCTTTTAGAGCATTTAAAATATGATTTGATCTGAAAAAAAATCAAGGGTTCTTCACCCAGCTTTTGAAGGCCATACCTACTTTATAAGGTGAGGGAGTTAAAGGGGTAGAAATCGGGGAAAGGTTTTGGTCTTGAGTGAGCTGCATAGGACTGAATTTGTGTGTGCACATGCATGTATGGTGTGTATATGTGTGTGCACACACGTGCCTATATGCAGGTGCACTCCCAGCACATGTCCCTGTGGTAACCAGAAGTGGAATGTTGAACGTCTTCCTCAGTCTCTCTCCACCTCAGTTTTGCAGACGAGGTATTTCACTGAACCAGGAGCTCAGTTTTGGCTAGACTGACTGATCAGCAAAACTCTGGGCTCCTCCTGTCTCTGTCCCCCACAAAGCATGCATGTACCTGGCTTTTTACATGGGTGCCAACAACTCAAACTCAGGTCTTCATGCGTGGGCAGTGGGTATTTTACCCATTGAATCCTCACCAGCCATGGAATTAATTTTAATTTAGAAAAGAATTTCCTTTCTTAAAGTTTCCCAGAGAAAGCATCACTACCTTTATCATCAGAGAACCCAAGGGAAGGAAAAACAAAAAGCAGGCCGGTTTGAGTTTGGAAAAGATAAATCTATTTGTTTGGTGGGTCACATTCTGCATTATGCATGTACGTAAAAGTGAGGTTTGTCTTGATCCTGACTATTAAAAGTTTATTTTTAAACTCAGACCGGGCAGGAATCCAGCGATGCTCTTTGCCCTACAACACATCCTGGGCTTCAGGTCCCCCAGCCTGGCACAATGCTGCTCAGCATCAGGAAGTATTGAAAAGTGTGGATAGTTGATGGGTACTGAGGGTTTTTATCCCCTCTCCCTTCCTCCCTTCCAGTTTTGAAATTCAAATTGAATGCAATTTTCAGCTCATTTGAGCCAGAATATAGTGTTGCTGAGCTCCAGTGGCTCTGAAATTCAAAACTCACAGGGGAAAAAACAGATATCATCTGTCAGATGGTGGGCGAGGAGGCCACACATTTTATTCATGGGAGGCAGAACTCTAGTCACTAATTCCGACCTTTCTGGGGACTAATCATTCACCAACCAACTGATCAAGTAATCAATGGGACTGAGACCGCCAAGCCACCGATCTCATGAAGTCTGAGAGAGGCTCCCCTCCCCCACCTGGCTCTTCAAAATAATTGCTCAAGTCTATTTTGGGATCATTGGTATTTTAATACCTTTTGTTGCAAGCTGAGAGAGGACGGGATTTCTTGGCTATCTCTTTTGTGCCCTTCCTGGTTGTTTTTATTGTTTCCATCTTTAATGAGTCCATTAATGCTATTTCCTTACAACTGAGAATAGCCAAAGGCTTAATGTTGGCTGTGCAGAGATAAATTTTGAGCTATGTTTTACCAAATATGCTGCTGGAAAAAATACGCTTCTTTCTGAAGGCATACATAAGTGCCAATTAAAAAGGGAAGACCTACTCTTGGGTACCAGAGACGACTGTGAGTTTGGTACCATACCAAAGACTGTGAGTTTGGTACCAGAGACTGGGTAGATGCTCAGGACCCCCGAGAGTAACCCTCTGTGAATTGCTGATGCTGGGTATGTGCCCTGGCAATACAAATGGATCTGAACAATGATGATTTGAAGTCCTTCCTTGGATTTCAGAAAGAAGGTCAAACAGCGGTTCTGATCTGATGAGTGTTTCTGGCTCTCTTGTTGGTGTTCACCCTTTAACATGAGCCAAAATTTTCAGGGGAACACGAAAGCCTTAACTAGTCTTCTTAGGCGAGTTTACCCTTTTCCCCCTTTTCTGGAGGTTTGTGAAAATCATTTATGATATTATTTCAAAGTACAAGTGAGAGTAAATCAGCTCTCTACATACTTTTATTTCTAATGAAGTTAGTTTGTAGTCATTAAAGTTGGAATTTCAAAAGTTTTGTAGTAAATATATGATTTGGCTATATATATATATATATAGTGTGTGTGAGTGTGTGTGTATGTATTTACATACTCTTAATGTCTCTTAATGTCTCTGAGAATGTGCCAGCAGGAACTTCCAAACATTCACTTTCACATTAATACAGTGGTCAACCTCTTTATCCTAATATCCAAGCAATGCACTTGGGCATTAGAATCCTGAGAGAAGAGAAGGTCGTCACTCCCTCTCCTTGGTGAGAAATGAGTCCCTGGCATGTTAACTGTGATATCTCACCACAGCTATCGACATATGCTACAGGCCACCAAGAGCTCCTGTGATGTTGTGCTGTATAATGAGGAATATGTACTTGGTGCCTGTCCCATTCCGGACACAGAGCTTCTAATCCACTGGGATTTCCTGTCCCTGTCCCGTAGGAGCATCTTTTGTTGTAATCCCGACACTCTTGAGCTCCTGCATGAGAGCAGGTCACCAGAAAGACAAAGCTGAGATCAGAAGCTTGGAATTTTCATCCCCACCCCCCATCCTCAAGGGAGGGGAGGGGAGCCAGGGGGTGGAGTCAGTAATCAGTCATGCTTCCCTGGTGGAAAGTCCAAGCAAAGCCCTGAACCACAGGGCTCAGAAAGCACGTGGGGGTCCTGGGAGGTGTAGGACCAGGGACATGAAGCTCTGTGACCTTTTCACATTCTCTGTGTATGTCTTCATCTGTTGTTCATATGTAGCCTTCATAACATCATTTGTTAATACTACAAACAGGGAAGATAGCTCTGCTGGGTACTAAGTTCTCTAGCAAATGAATAAGAAGAAGAGCTCATGGTAATATCTAATTTGTAGCCAAGTCAGACAAAGTTGTAAGTAGCCAACAACTTCTCATTAATGTGTAGGTGGTGGTGGAGGGGCTGAGTCCTAAACTTGTGGGTTATGAGGCAATCTCCAGGTGTGTCTGTGTGTGATAGAGGTGTTGTGTGTATGATACACGTGGTATGTGTGTGGTGTGTAGCATGTGTGTTTATGCGCAGTGTCAGCATTATATTAAATTGTGTGGCAGCCAATAGTTGAACACTGAAGAATTGATGCACGTGTGTGTGCATGTGTATGCATGCATGTGTGTGTGCATGTGTGCGCATGCATGCTTGTGTGTGTGTGTGTGTGTGTGTGTGTGTGTGTGTGTGTGTGCGTATGTGTATGGGAATGCTAAACACAGAAATGCTTTGTGTTGAGAAGGGGCAATCTGGTTGATTTTCCCTAAGTCACCACACCTATTTTAACAAGGAATCTATAAGCTACTTACTAAATTAATTAGTAAAGCTCTGTTTTTTTCTATTGAGTGTGAATGAAGTTTCTGTCTTCAACCCAAAACTTCTGCAAGACTGATCAACTGATTAGAACTTCAGAGAGTATGGAGCTTTTGGAAAGTTGCAGGTCCAGAGCCTAATTACCATCCATCCTGAGCTATCTTTGGCCCCTAAATAGCTGTTCCTTGCCTACCTCTGCGTCTGACCTATTTGGTGGGATCAAGATGACAGACATAGTAAAATTTGAAAATCACCTCTCAAAATGATCCTTTGGTTTGTTTATTTGTATGCCCATTTCACCAACTGGGAATTGAGGCCTTAGGGGATTAGGTGATTTACCTTTAATGAAGTCTTGGGGATCCAGCTTCTAAATCAACTAGGCAACTCCGTGAGAGTGGTCAGTCAGTGGCTAAAGGGATTGAACGCCTATCTAGAAGTGAATGACAGTTCCCAGATAAAAGCATGCATCTTCAAACTGAGCCTTCTGTGAGGCTGATCAGCTGA